AAATAAAAATAAAAAAATAAAATAAAATAAAATAAAATAAAATAAAATAAAATAAAATAAAATAAAATAAAATAAAATAAAATAAAATTAAATTAAATTAAATTAAAAACAAATTAAAATAAATGAAAATAAAATTTTCAGAGCCGCAGCCCCCTCAGAGCTCTTTCCCATTTTCCCGTATTTTTCCGGTTGTTTTCTGGTTGTTTCTCCCAGGTTTCCAGTTCTCTTTCCCATTGTTTTCCGGTTGTTTTTCCCAGGTTTCTGGTTGTTTTTCCCATTTTTCTGGTTCTTTTTCCCATTTTTCCCGTTGTTTTTCCCATTTTTCTCAGATTATTCCCATTTTCCGCTTGTTTTTCCCAATTTTCCGGTTGTTTTTCCCAATTTCCCCAATTTTCCAGTTGTTTTTCCGGTTGTTTCTCCCAGGTTTCCATGGGATTCCAGAGCAGCAGCCTCCTCTCCCATTTTCCCTGTTTTCCCACCATTTTTCCCATTGTTTCTCCCATTTTTCCGGTTGTTTTTCCCAATTTTCCCATTGTTTTTCCCATTTTCCCCATTGTTTCTCCCAATTTTCCCATGTTTCACAGATTTTTCCCAGTTTCCCTTTTTTTTTCCCAATTTTCACCATTTCCTGGTTGTTTTTCCCATTGTTTTTCCCGATTTTCTCATTTTTCTCAGATTTTTCCCAATTTTTCTGTTGTTTTTCCCAATTTTCCCATTTTTCTCAGATTTTCACCATTTTTCCTGTTGTTTTTCCGGTTGTTTTTCCCATTTTTCCCATTGTTTCTCCCAGGTTTCCGCAGGATTCCAGAGCAGCAGCCTCCACTCCCATTTTCCCTGTTTTCCCACCATTTTTCCCATTGTTTCTCCCAATTTTCCGGTTGTTTTTCCCATTTTTCCCATTGTTCTTCCCAATTTTCCCATTTTTCTCACATTTTCACCATTTTCTGGTTGTTTTTCCCAATTTTCCGGTTGTTTTTCCCATTTTTCCCATTGTTTCTCCCAATTTTCCCATGTTTCGCAGATTTTTCCCGTTTTCCTGGTTTTTTTCCCAATTTTCACCATTTCCTGGTTGTTTTCCCATTGTTTTTCCCAATTTTCCCATTTTTCTCAGATTTTCACCATTTTCCCGTTGTTTTTCCCATTGTTTTTCCCAGGTTTCTGTGGGATTCCAGAGCAGCAGCCTCCTCTCCCATTTTCCCTGTTTTCCCACCATTTTTCCCCTTGTTTTTCCCAATTTTTCCCATTTTCCGGTTGTTTTTCCCAATTTCCCCCATTTTTCCGGTTGTTTTTCCCATTTTTCCGGTTGTTTTTCCGGCTGTTTCTCCCAGGTTTCCGCAGGATTCCAGAGCAGCAGCCTCCTCTCCCATTTTCCCTGCTTTCCCACCATTTTTCCCTTTGTTTTTCCCATTTTTCCCGTTGTTTTTCCCAATTTTTCCCAATTTTCCCCATTTTTCCGGTTGTTTTTCCGGCTGTTTCTCCCAGGTTTTGGCGGGATTCCAGAGCAGCAGCCTCCTCTCCCATTTTCCCTGTTTTCCCACCATTTTTCCCCTTGTTTTTCCCAATTTTCCCCATTTTTCCCATTGTTTTTCCCAATTTTCCCATTTTTCTCAGATTTTTCCCATTTTTCCGGTTGTTTCTCCCAGGTTTCGGCGGGATTCCAGAGCAGCAGCCTCCTCACCGCTCTTTCCCATTTTCCCTGTTTTTCTCACCATTTCTCCCATTGTTTCTCCCAATTTTCCCCATTTTTCCGGTTGTTTTTCCGGCTGTTTCTCCCAGGTTTTGGCGGGATTCCAGAGCAGCAGCCTCCTCTCCCATTTCCCCTGTTTTCCCACCATTTTCCCATTTTTTTCCGATTTTTCCCATTTTTCCCCATTTTTCCGGTTGTTTTTCCGGCTGTTTCTCCCAGGTTTTGGCGGGATTCCAGAGCAGCAGCCTCCACTCCCATTTTCCCTGTTTTCCCTGTTTTTCCACCATTTTTCCCATTGTGTCTCCCAATTTTCCCATGTTTCGCAGATTTTTCCCGTTTTCCTGGTTTTTTTCCCAATTTTCACCATTTCCTGGTTGTTTTTCCCATTGTTTTTCCCATTGTTTTTCCCAATTCTTCCATTTTTCTCAGATTTTTCCCATTTTCCGGTTGGTTTTCCCAATTTTTCCATTGTTTTTCCCAATTTTCCCATTTTTCTCAGATTTTCACCATTTTTCCCGTTGTTTTTCCGGTTGTTTTTCCCCATTTTCCGGTTGTTTTTCCGGTTGTTTCTCCCAGGTTTCGGCGGGATTCCAGAGCAGCAGCCTCCTCACCGCTCTTTCCCATTTTCCCTGTTTTTCTCACCATTTCTCCCATTGTTTCTCCCAATTTTCCCCAATTTTCCGGTTGTTTTTCTGGCTGTTTCTCCCAGGTTTCTGTGGGATTCCAGAGCAGCAGCCTCCTCTCCCATTTCCCCTGTTTTCCCACCATTTTTCCCATTGTTTTTCCCAATTTTTCCCAATTTTCCCCATTTTCCGGTTGTTTTTCCCAATTTTCCCCAATTTTCCGGTTGTTTTCCCCAATTTTCCGGTTGTTTTTCCGGTTGTTTCTCCCAGGTTTCCGCAGGATTCCAGAGCAGCAGCCTCCTCTCCCATTTTCCCTGTTTTCCCACCATTTTTCCCCTTGTTTTTCCCAATTTTTCCCATTTTCCAGTTGTTTTTCCCAATTTTTCCATTTTCCGGTTGTTTTTCCCATTTTTCCCCAGTTTTCCGTTTTTTCCGTTGTTTCTCCCAGGTTTCTGTAGGATTCCAGAGCAGCAGCCTCCTCACCGCTCTTTCACATTTTCCCTGTTTTTCTCACCGTTTCTCCCATTGTTTTTCCCAATTTTCCCAATTTTTCCCAATTTCCCCCATTTTTCCGGTTGTTTTCCCCAATTTTCCGGTTGTTTTTCCCAATTTTCCGGCTGTTTCTCCCAGGTTTCGGCGGGATTCCAGAGCAGCAGCCTCCTCACCGCTCTCCCCAGCGCCTTCCTGGACCGGCTCCTCTCGGCCGCGCTCCTGGAGGATCCCGAAATCCGAATTTTTGTCCTGGAAATTCTCTGCAGCTTCATCGATCGCCACGGCAACGGCCCCAGCTTCA